GGAGTGCACTGATGGGACAAGGGGTAATGGTTTTAAACTGAAAGAGGTGAGATTTAGATTAGATATAAGGAAGTAATTCTTTACTGTGGGGGTACACAGAGAATCTGTGGCTGCCCCCTCCCTGGAAGGGTTCAAGGCCAGGTTGGACGGGGCTTTGGGCAACCTAGGCTAGTGGAAGGTGTCGCTGCCCATGGCAGGGGGGTTGGAACTAGATAATCATTAAGGTCCCTTCCGACCAACACTTTCTATGAATCTATGAATCTGTAATAGATATTTTTTAAAATTCCAAGTTGATGTGGTATTATGAGAATTTGTGGAAGAACAGCTTGCAGTATGACCCACATCTGTTCTAAACACTCACTAATCTTACATGCAAATAGAAAGAATCGACATATTTAGATACCTAGATTTCTCTTTTCCTCCTTGTTCCCCACAAATGTTTGAGCTTTTTAATTCCTACCTCATAATTTTAAAATTTTGCTGCTGAGTATATAAACACATTCACATGAAATGGACCCAACTGAAATGTACTTGTCTTCAGTCTGAAGAGTCATGGATCTCAATTACATGGGTCCACTGCTTACATTTCTTCAAAAGCACAAAACCCTTAGATTTCCTCTGAACTAAGGTTAACTAGGGCAAGGCATGTATAATAAATGTGGGAAAACAAAGTGTAGAACTAGCTAGGGAGGTGATAGATTTCAATGCATAAATTTAGACTTAAATGTCCTTAACCATCTCGACTTCTATCCTTTTCGTCTTGTGCAAAATGTCCTCTAAAATATTATAGAAAACACAGTATGAAAGTCTCATATTTTTTTTAATCTTCCCTGATGATGTAGTAACAATTGGTCTAATCTAGTCTAATCTATCACTTGAAGTTTATTTCATTATCATCTTTCAATTCCATGATTCTCTCTTAAATGCAGAAGCAGCATTTTTCTTGAAGAATACATGGTGTGAGTACACATCCAAACTCGTTCTTTTGTTCCTTTCAAATCACACATGACAGTTCAAGCAGTGGTGATAGAACATGAGACTGAAAGACCATAACCATTTTTTGACTTGCGTACTGAACACAAGTTACTACTGAGAATGAAGGATAAAAAAAAAATGTCAGATAAATAGAAAAAGTTAGAGCAAAGCTATCAGAAAAAAGAGGGATGTCAATTACTTAATAAAATATGCCTGTATAAGGAGCACACTGTTGGCATTCACATTCATTTTTGTTCACAACATATTATAAATATTTTTATGTGGTGCTGATGATCCTTTTCAAGATGTCAAGCACCTCAAAAAATACTTTAATTTAATATCTTATATAAAAATGACCACTATTTATTACAGAATCACAGAATCATCTAGGTTGGAAAAGACCTTGAAGATCATCCAGTCCAACCATTAACCTAACATTGACAGTTCCCAACTACACCAGATCCCTCAGCGCTATGTGAACTCTACTTTTAAACACCCCCAGGGATGGGGACTCCACCACCTGGGCAGCCCATTCCAACACCCAACAACCCCTTCTGTAAGAAATGCTTCTAATATCCAGTATAAACCTTCCCTGGCACAACTTGAGGCCATTACTTCTTCTATCGCTGGTTCCTTGGCTCAAGAGACTCATTCCCAGCTCTCTGCACCCTCCTGTCAGGGAGCTGTAGAGGGCGATGAGGTCTCCCCTCAGCCTCCTCTTCTCCAGACTAAACCCCCCCAGTTCCCTCAGCCGCTCCCCGTACGACCTGTGCTCCAGACCCTGCACCAGCTCCGTTGCCTTTATCTGGACACGCTCGAGTCATTCAATGTCCCTTTTGTAGTGAGGAGCCCAAAACTGAACACAGTCATCGAGGTGCAGCCTCACCAGTGCCAAGTACAGGCGTAAGATCACTTCCCTGTTCCTGCTGGACATGTTATTTCTGACACAAGCCAGGATGCCACTGGTGAGTGTTTAGCAAGCTTTTTTGCAAGCCAGGTATTTATAAAAGAGTTTATAGCATGCGTGACAAAGTTAAACATTTTCCTGGTAAAGATGGAGTGCTTATTTAATTTAGGGATAGAAAAACGAGTATATTACACAAATCCATGCATATTTAAACATAAAATAAGCATATATCAGAAATTAACATTTCTCTGTAACAATCTGAAATAAGAAAATATCACCATAATAGGAGAACTATAAATTCTTGTAGCTATAGTAGGTAGAAATGAAGAACAATTTCTAAACAGCATCACTGAAACAAAAATTATTTAGAAGTCCAAAACTTCAACAGGTATTAAAAATAAATATTGAGTACAGGTAAATAAAGAGTATCTCACATTTTCTTTAAATATTCCCAACCCTTCCAATTCCCAGGTTTGTATGTGTGCAGGTGAACAAGGAACAGCAACAAAACTATCAGTGTATTCTTGCTTTTCATACACTCATTCTGAACAAGTTGGAAAAAATATATCCAAAATTGCTCAGCCAGTGACACTCTTTGCAGGCTGGGTTAGTGCCCTGTATTTACAACCCCAGGAGGTTAGTATTTGTTCATTTCTATGGCAATTTATACTAATCAATCACTTCCTGCTCTTTCTTTCTTCACTGTGTTTTTAAACCCACTAACTAGGATAGGCAGCCTTGTAGCATCTCAATAATCATTTCCTTATCCCATCTTTGCCATTGTCTTTTTGTGCTGAGACTAATGCTTTTCATTCTACTTTTCACAGTTTAGGCTATATTGCCTTTTTGAAACCTTTCAGCTCAACTGCTAAAGCATATAACAAAGCCCTTCAGATTGCCTTTGGTCGGACTATTTCATGTTTTGATAATACTATAAAGGCATATTTTTCATGGGAGGAGAGCCTCGGAACGAATACCCTTCTGCAAGTGTGATATGAATGCCTCCAGTTCTTTTGTAAAATTTGCATTGAGGTTTAGGTCTCACATGCAAAGTGGCACCATACTGTCCAGCAAACACAGGTTGCTTTTTTAAAAATTGTGGGTTTGTTTTGGCTCTATTAGTAAGTTATTTTTTGGAAAAAATGAATTAAAATATAAGAGCTTTGTTCTTTTGTGTTTTGGTTCTGACTCAAGGGACTAGTGAACACCCCAGCGTTGTACTTCACAAGAACAAAACTGCTTGATTCACATTTCTTCAGTGACCTCTTAGTGCAGATTTATCTATAGTTTCTACAAAACAGTAGACATCATTTATTTAAAGGAAACTGTTTTCCCTACAGACCTTTACTTCTTGTATCAAGTATACCAGGGGTACACCTGCAGTCGTAACATAACTTTAAACCAGTGCTGATAAACTCATGTGGGATGTGACTTCAAAATGCCAGAGTAACAGGAGCAAGGACCGGGAAGAATTTCATTCATTTTCTACACAGTGCAACATCTATTCAGGCTTGAGGAACATTTCCAAATCAAACTGGATCCAGTGGGATTTGTGATCACTTGTCATTTCTTCAGTTCTTTATTTATCATGTGTACTTTGGTAGCATCTGGAGGCCTTGCTCTATAGGGGACTGTATAAACACTGAAGAAAAATGTGATCTCTCCCATAAAATAACTTTTTAATATAACATGAAGAGAATGAATAATATCCCATCAAGGTCTTGCTTTAAATGCAAGATATTCCAAGTTTCAGGTTTAAAAGTTTATGTTTATTTTTAGCATATTCTATTTGGTCAAATGACTACTGCATATAGAAATATATGCCTACAATTATCTCCCTCTCATCAATAACTTACAAAGCTGAAATAATAATGAATGCACAGATAAGAAAAACAGAATTAAAACAGAAGGACCTAGACTCAACACCATCTATCATTAACCTGATATACTTTGTGACTCCATAATGCCTCTGAATGATGTTAATTCATATGCAATTTGCCAACGCAAAATAAATGGAGAAACTAGTAAAGGATGAAGGTGATAGAGTGGGACAGGACAAATTAAAAAGCAAAATACATTTCTGAGGGATATGAACTCTCCATTTTAGTGAACATGGAAAGTTTGACACAGTTTAATATGAAGAACAGATAATCAATTTTTTATATGTGAAATGTGAATGCTACAAGTGTGGAAGAGCTTGGGAATTCAGGAATAAAGGTCAATACCAGATGAGACCTTAAAATTTGGACACTTTCATTTGTGTCACATAACAATTTTCCTTCTGTAAAGACAAATATTAACAGGCCCAGCTGATCTATCTCTGATCTAATTTTGCATTTAAACCACCAGAAATTTTTATAACCCCAGATTCTGATCTGGCCTAAAGATGTTTTCAGTTTACATTTCCTGTTACCTTTTTCCTTGCCTTGATTTTGCAGTTGTCTCCTGCCCAAGTTCTTCAAACTAAGAGCCGCATACACTACCTTCAGCAAGCGATGAGCCTCTAAATGCAGAACCAATGCTGCGTCATGAATAGCCTAATTGAAGTGTCAAAGAAATCGCTACAGCCATTGGCCAAAGTCTCATCACAACCTTGAGCCCCTTCAGGAAAACAAATGATTAAAAATAACTTCTACCTTTGTCCAGCTTCTTCACCATGTAGCTTGCAGCACCATATGTTCTCTAATATCCAGACCTACTCAGCCAAAAAATCTCTTAAGTTTACTTCCAGTAACATAAGAAAGAAGGCAGCAGGACATGCTAACTGACATTAAGAGTTCCCTCTGCATTTGGATTACTCAGAGGATTAATTTAATCTGACATATCCTGGCAGGCTTTGGAGAAAGCCACATTCATATCCAAACTTGTGATAACAAATTAAATACTATACCCTGTTTCTGAGTCAGAGAGGTAATAAAGTCGACTTTGAAATACGTATGTTTCCGATTTAAAATAAAGAGTTTCTGATATTTTATAATATATCCAGTTCATAACTACAATATGTGAATAAACAGATGCTCCAATTTAAGCAGGTATCTATGCAGCAGGAGACTACTCTGTATACACATACATGAAAAGCTGTCATTTACACACTGCAGTAAGTACAAGACTCTCTTACCTGCAGGTTTGCACATGCTGGTGAATCATTGTGGGTGGGTATTTCATTGTTGGTGGTCTCTGAACCTGTGTTTTTAAATCTGGAAGCTGTTGTAGTTGTGGCTGTAGTGGTCTGTACTGGTAAGATGGGCTGCCACACATTCACATCAGTACCATTGCCGAAGGCCTGAATTGCATTTTCTGTAAAAACAAATTACAGACAATTTTCTATTTCTAAACAAATGGCAGAAAGCAGAACTGACTTTTCAATCATCATCATTATTATTATTATTCCATTGAAAATGTGTATTTATAGAAACCCAATTTTTATGCTTGAAAATGTGTCTTAATTTTGAACATATCAGAACCATGAACTGAGAGTCTGGGGTCACATCATTATCTGGTGCTGTCTCTTCTTTGTAATGTTCCCAGTAATTCTTGACAAAAGCTCTAGGACTTACTGTAATCATATTTGTTATCACTCAAAAGCCTCAAAAATTTACTTTCAAGATTTAAAATACAGTTTGAATGTTATGTCCTAATTCAGGCAGGTGATGTTACATAGCAAACTAAAAACAGAGCACACAAAATATTAATTTATTTTTATAGCTTCTTGTAGTAAAACTAATATGCCTGTAACTACAAAATGGTTTAACTAAGACAATCTTTTCGTTGCAGTTTTCAACTGAAATCTGCATAATTAGGTGAGGGAAGCATGCTTAAACTAAAACTTTAGAATATAGAAGTTAAAAAGCTTATCACAGTTTCATGGGATTAAAGAGTGTGTTTATGGCAAGAGTAAATTGGTTGGGTTTTTTTATAAACAAATAGAAAAACAGTTTTTAATCAGGTCTTTGGGGATTCAACATGGATTTAGGGATTTCTTATTTCAAATTCTTTGTACAAGAAATCAAACAATTTCATTAGGGACTAATATGTGGAAGTTATTAATACTTCTTCTCAGTGGTATTCCTTGCCTTATGAAATAATTTACATTTCATTCTCATCTGAAAAAAGATGTATTTTAGTCTGATATAGTTTTTAGAACTCCAAAATAGAAAAAAATAATTTGTAAAAAGCACCACAATCAGCTGGGTTGATGGAGACAATATGGGAAGAGAGGAACGATATTTTTCTTGGTTTTACCCGAATAAGACAATGTATAAAGCAATATTTTCCTATGATTTCCTAAATTAACAGTAACTCTGTTTCTATTATTGAAAGAAGGGTCATAGAAATACATGCAGCCCTTCCAGTTTTCTAACTAAAAGTGGACTTTACAGTTAGTCTTCTTTAATTATTTCATAGAATCATACTCAGTGATCTTTAGGAGTCCCTTCCAACTTCAGATCTTCTATGATAGAATCACAGAATCAGAATGGTTTGGGTTCGAAGGGACTTTTAAAAGTCATTTACAACCCCCCTGCCATGAAGAGGGACATCTTCGACTAGATCAGGTTATCCAGAGCCCGTCCAACCTGGCCTTGAATGTTTCCAGGGATGGGGCATCTACCACCCCTCTGGGCAACCTGTTCCAGTGTTTCACCACCCTCATTGTAAAAAATTTCTTCCTTATATCTAGTCTGAATCTACCCTACTTTAGTTTAAAACCACTGCCCCTCGTTCTATTGCACCAGGCCCTGCTAAAGCATCTTAGAAGACATTTTTTAGAAGCCCTCTTTAAGTATTGAAAAGGTGCAATAAGGTCTTCCTGGTGCCTTCTCTTCTCTAGGCTGAACGACCCCAACTCTCTCAGCCTTTCTTCATAGGAGAGGTGTTCCATCTCTCCCTCATATTTTTGGAAAGTTTCAAACATATAAATTATACCTGAAATACATATTTTATATAAATATAATTTTGATACATATTTCAAATATATTTCAAAAAAATGACTGTAAGGAGGTGCTCTAAGTGTATTACTGCTCTAGTAAAGATCCTTTCAGTAATTTTTATTAAATAACTCACAGCTTTTCCTCTCACTTGCCAATTCTTTTTACTGCAGTATAAAGCAGGTGTGAACAAATCCTTTGAAGAGATAGCTAGATTTACTGAATCCCATTCAGTTCAGCATGAATTCTAGAGTATGTAACTGAATGTCAGGACATTCACTTTCACAGTGGCTAAAATAAAAGTCTAAAGCTGGATTTCTAGAATTTAAGATTGGCCAAACCCTAACTGGAGAGGCAGCAATTAGGACCATTGCAATATTACCAGTGAACTTACATCTTCCAATAAAGAGGAAAAAAGTACAAGCAAGGTAATATACAGCCCCAAATTTTAGGGTGGAATATAACTTATTGGGGCCTATTAACTTGTATTTTGAGCTTTCTTGAGATTAGGGCAGTTTCACAGTTCTGATATAAACCCATAATCTGCAGAACAATGCTGACATAAAGAAACACTTTACCTAATACATGCAAAAACAAAACAATGCAATGTTTGTCTTTAATGGGGCTAATTAAAACAGACCAGAATTTTCACTTGTATTTTCACACCCGTGTTTTGAAATCAAAAATTCCACTCTAGTTTCAATTTAACACCTGTTGCAAAAGTCTTTTCACCTCTAGAGTGGAATTTCTAGACAACTACACACAGAGGTGCAAGAAAGACCAGGAGTTCAGGTGTGTACGTGGGACATGGTAAACTCAGCTTCATATCCCAGCTCCACGTCAAGCACAGTATGAATGTGACCCTAGATCTCCTACTTTCTGAGCCCTCTAGCCCTCAGGGTAGAGTCTCAGCTATTCCACTTCACATAAATAACCAAATGGGTTTCTGAATAAATATTTAAGCTAGATTTTCCACTTCTTCTGTAAATGCCCCAAATCACTGGTGTATTTTTCAGTTTGAAGGGGAAGTATACTTTAGCAAAAGAGACTAGCGAGAAATTCCTAATTTCATCCCATTGTGGAAAAAGGATTTTTGTTTTGTCTAAAAAAAGTGGGAAGGATTTTGATCTCATTCAATAAACAAATGATGTTTTCTTCAGGCACTGTAAGACCCACTAATGACAACATCAATTTTTTAAAAAAGGAACTTTTCCCATTCTCTGTACAAGAAAAAACTTTTTATTAAATCAGAAGCGTCTTCAATTTCTTCATGAAGAAGACATCTCTTACAGCTAGCATGACCATAATTTGTCTCACAGTACCCTCTAATGTCTTTGATTTGTCTTCATTAATGCTTTTATACTGATAGCAGAAGAAAGGACAAGGGATCGCTCTGTCTTTATGTTCTAAAAGGAACCTGTAACATTTTAGCAATTAATACATTCACAAATGAAAAAATTCAGATGTATTACAGTTTATAGAAATGGTAGCCCCATCAAGTCTGAAGAAAGTCTGATGCTATATTAAACTTTACCCAATCATGGTCTGAATTGTTTTCTGAGGTTTTTTTGTTAAAAGATCTTGAGTAATTGATTCATTCTTCCAAAGCTTAATAGTGGATCAAATAACAACACAAGTCACTCACATTTTGTAGACAAAGCTCCCCATATCTTAACAACATGCTGCCTGTTAAGAAGCTTCCAATGGAGATTTTCAGACCGCTATACTAAAATACAGACTGAACTCTACATTAGCATTGGCTCAAGTACATAGGGCTGGATGGGACAGTGCGGATCATCGAGTGCATTAACTATTTTTGAAAAAAACAACAATGTATGCTTACTTTCATAAGCTGATGAAATATGACTTCTAAAACCAGTAAGAATTTTTACCCTCAAAACTCCTTCTGGAAGACTATTTCTTAACTTTAGTCTGATGGTTAAAAATTGTCCAATTTCGAGCCTAAATGCGTATGGCAAATATCTCCCTTTTTGATCTTGTGCCAACATTGTCCTGTAGGTTAAATAATCCTTTTCCCTCCCTGGGCTTGCCCCTCTAATGCAATTTCAGAGAACAATCACGTATCCTTTCAACTTCTGTTCTGCTAGGCTAGGGAAGCCAAGCTCTTTTGGTCTACTCATTTATCTGAAATTAAAACTCTGATGCACACTCCACATCATCCAATTATGCTGCTCCAGGCAGACAGGAAATTTGAAAAGAGAAGCTGCCAAAATCGACTCCACTGAGCCATTCTGAAATTTATAACAGTCCCTAATTTGGAAGTGAGTTTGACTGAAAAAAAATCAATAATTTAACAAAATCTTGAAAATAGGTATCATCTAGACCTGTGTTAAAACCAGGCATCTGAGATCAAGTAGCCTAAAAAACCTGAAGCTTGGCTATAAATTGCAAGCACAATCCAATTTATACTTACCTACAGCAAATCCTTCATATCATAAACTACATGTCTTTTTTTATATGAAGTTCTTAAATTATACAGAATCCCCTCAGGTGTTGCAATTTTTTGGTACAGATGCTGCCTGACTGTTAGGCTCCGAACATGATCTGTGATGTAAACATATTTCTATATGACATAACTTTGTTATTTGATTTTTTTTCCAAAAGCTTCTCATATTTGCAATCTCAGCCATAAATCATAGTAACAGGCTTATTTGCTCATTTGTTTAATTCTTACACCTACAGCAGAACCATGCTTACAAAGTCCAAAGAGATGGCCTTGATGTATCATAACATACTTAAACAGTAAAGAAATGTCAGAAAACATCCTAAACCACATTTAAATACATTTAATTTTGTACTCACTAAGGCATGTATTGTCCTGGAAGAAATTCAGGAATTTCATGCATTCATCTCTGTCATTACCGCTGTTGTTGCAGTCACACCACGGGGCAACGCTGAGACTATTTGAGTCTATGTAGTTTGGTGTCATCACTGTGCCTATTAACAAAGAGTGAAGTACAGTACTGTAAGCAACCTTTGCACTGAAATATTCTTTCCATACTAAGAAGACAGCAAACAGCACTTGGTAGGTCATGTATTCAGCGCTGGATTCACGAGGCAGACCCATGGCAGGGCTCTAACTTCCAGACTTAACCGTTCCTGGCTCTTTGACACCCAGCCCTGTGCCATACTTCACGCCCTCAGTTGTTTGAATGCAACCACTTTAGGGACTGTAACATGACTCACACATTAAAGACCCATTCCTTTCCTCCAAAAAGGTTTATATTGCACTCCCACAGACAGCTTCATCAGCAGAACTGACAGGTAGAAAACTGTGGCACAGGAGAGGGGTGGATTGGGGGAAGGTGGGAGCCTCTTAAAAGGCTTTGCTGCCACATCAAACATTTGTGGACCTGCGTTCTTAGAGTTGCACTCTAAAAATCCAATTTTTCTTTTTCACTTGTGGGGTTGGGTTTTTTTTTCATTTTGTTGTTGCTGCAAATAAATGGCTGAAACTAGACATCTAAACCTGAGCTTCCTCCTTGAGTTGCAGCCAGGCTGAAAAAATATTTCTGAAACACGTGAGCAAGGAAAATGCTAGTCATGCTGAGAGGAGCCCTAATACATCTTGAAGGAGCATGAACCCCATGGTGTTCGTTAGGGCCCTGCCAACAGAGTGGGTTATGGCCATGAACAAAGCAAAAACATAACCATTATGCATATGGTACAGTAGATTCTTTGCAGGCAATAAATTACTATTAACCTTGCTGTGTCACTACTTTTTCAGTACAGCGATTGTTTCCTAAACATTGTCAACAGCTTGCAACCACAGGTTCATTCTAACTCTATTACAAATTCCTGGGTAAATATTCTCACATTTATATGTCAACTCAAGGTTATCAAGAATGAAATGAAACCAAAGAATACATTTTGTGTCCTAAAAAATATACAGCAACTGTTCATCACTCATCTGGATCAGGCAACTGTTATATGATCAGCACTTACTCAAACAAGTAGTCTCACTGAAGGCATTGCACCAGCAGGTCAGAGATTTCAAACTTCCCTAGGGATTGAGAAGTTTGAAACTTTGTCTGACCAAATAGAAAAAATTAAATAAAAAGGTGTAAGTATGCTAGACGTGTACTGATGACAACTGTTTCAGGAAACACGTTCCTCCGTTGTTAATCTACATGCCTAGGACAGGCTATATATCATGAGGAAATGTGATCACATCTCCTCAAAACTGACGTCAAAGAAGCCATTAAGAAGATAGAATAGATGAGGGATAAATATTAGAGATCCAAAGTGTACACTAGCAGAGAAAATTTGGTCCATAGGTCCAGGGTTCAAGAGCCTGCAGTAACACACAGGAAAGGGCTAGCAAACATCAAGCTAAACAGAGGAATATTAGAAATAACACTAATCACAGAATGATGTCAAATAGCCTTTCAGTCACCAGGCAGCACTGGGAAGTGAACAAATCAACATGCAAACTGCTTCATGCATGACGTGAGAGACAAGGAAGAACAGACATTAAGGGATGGCCTGAAAAAGCTTGCAATGTATGTGAAAACGAATGTAGTCCCACTGCCAAACTCACAAAAAGAATCTTTTGTCTTTTTGGGGATGTTCTTAAATTAGAATGCAATCCCATACCTTTATCTAGTTCTAGCTTTTAACAGATAGTTGCTGTAATAATTACTCAAATTCTACATGAGATTAGCACAGGAGTAAATAGAACAGTTCAAAATTTATTAAATGAAGGTAGAGAATTTAGTAAAATAGGCAAATATCATTTGCCCCATTAATGAAAACTTGACAGTAGATAAATAAGAAGAGGAATGATGTTAAATTAAAATAAAACAAATGAAAATATCTGTCCATTATCCATTTGATGGTTCAGTACACTATTTCAACCATGTGACATGATCTGAAAAGAAGAGAGAGAAAATGAAAACCAAGAGGATTTTGCAAATGGAAAGAAAACAGAAGGCTTCAAAAAAAAAAAAAAAAAAAGGGCAGCTAAGTAGCAAAAGCTTAGTGCAGGGTTAAAAAAACAGAAAGGTTTTGAGGAAATGAAAAAGGTCACTGAAGTAAGACTTTCTTATCACGAGAAGGTAATAAGGTAATTAAAATGGGTCAAGACAGGGGCTAAAAGTGTAAGAGATACCAAGATATAATTAGGGTTGATGAATACAGGAAAGACAGGACAAGGAATGTGTATATCCAGCACACAAACTGTACATCCAGCAAAAACAGTGTGGCTGAAAGAGCAGCTAGTAGAAAATCAGTCTGTCATTTAAACCTGGGGGCAGATGTGAACCCAACCGGATTATATGCTTGGTTTCCTGGGCTTGATTTTCTTTTTTTCCCAGCAATGTGTGTGTCTTCCCCCACCCTCCCTCCCCCCCACCCTGCTAGCTGGCATCTTGGAAATTCTGCTGAAGGACACTAACAGATCACAGAAACCATGGTGGTTGGCAGTCAAAAAGATGTGCTTGGTTTTCTGTGTTCTATGTATCGAATAGTTCTGTGATGATCTCAGTAGCAAGCAGTCAGGTGTCCGTATTTTAGACAAAAGCAGAATGACCTGAACACAGGGTACAGAGGTCACTCAAAATAGGGTCAGTTAAGAACAAGAAGATGGATGGTGAGTCCAGGAGGAGAGGCATGTGACTGAAGTTCCTCCGGTCCAAAGAAACTCCGGCTCATTCATACAAACTCTCATGGAATTCCCAGGGAAATTAGATAGATTTTACTGAAGACAAGGGAAATGTGTCAGAAAGTGAATGCTAAAGCAGATCTTGAAGTCATCAGTTAGAGCAATACCTAACCGATGTGGGAACGCAGACAGGTCCGGATGGCTTAACTAGGCTGTAACCAAAGCAATGAATCTCAGACATGGCTATCTCCAGTCTTATTCTAGATTTAATAATTTTGAAATTTTCTGTTATTTTATTAAAAATATTAATTTATCATTATAACAAGGAGCCTAAAGTAATGAATTAAGATTTTCAAAATTGCTGTGATATATACATATCTTTAAATTTACAAATATAACATCCTGATGCAACTTTAAAGCCCCCTATATAGACTGTTCTCCATTGAACATGTAAAGCACCTCAGACAAAAACTGTGCCTGACTACTTCCACTTAATTTCAGGTGGGATTCCACTAATTTCTGTGAAGTTAACTGTGATTTACATCACTGTATGTGACATCAAAATCACATCCACTGTACCTTTCCATAGGAAATTCCTCAATTTCCTGAACAAACTTCATAGAGGTGCAAGTTTTGCTACATTTAATTAAATGGTTAAATGAAATAATATTTAACAAACAATATTTTGTCTTAATTAAAACACCTGGAACTCCTGAAGCTCTGATGAATGAATGAATCTGTAACAGTTTCTTAATCAAAGTCTACCTACCTCCTTCTTCTGTGTTTTATATAAATTAAGCAGACATTTGAAAGATTATACCTCTGATTTCTATCTCAGCATCTTACAAATTTGATGGCCTTCACATAATTTACTCCACTTTTATATCACCTTGATATCAGAAGCAGGCCTTTACTGCTTCATCACGTGGAAGTTTTGTTTTGGTAATTTTCTTGGTTTATTAAAATTTCTACCAAGAAGTAAAAACTCTTGTAACATTAGTCAGTTCCTATCTTTCTGCATGTGTCTAGGGGCTAGTAGGAAGGAAGAAAAATATTTACTTTTCCCTTTGAAAATTAGATCTCCTTTTGATTTCAAGTCATTAGGGATCCATTCCACATTTCTGACGTGTGACAGTGTTTTGGTCATCCACAGTACCACAAAAACACCTGACTACAGAAACTGGGTCATACTTGGGGTTTAAATAAAAAAATGGATCCAACAAAACTGCCAGCAAAATTCACTACGTCCAGCAAAAACTTCCTGGCAGCTCTTACCCAGAGTATCTATTAGTAACAGTTACTCTCTTTGCCAGCAGCTAGACTTCTTAATCTCATTGACTAGATCAGATTTCAAGGCTATTCAAGTCTTTGTTTTAGAGTCAAATGGTATTCTGTCATAACTGTTCATATGTCATACCCTTTTCATACTGTCTTCATCTCTTAAATCATAGAAGCATATCCTTTGAAACCATCACATCTTATCTTACCAGTTACCACGTAGACTTACCTCACTTTTTATCTGCTAGAGTAATAAGAATGATAACAATAAGCCAGTGAATATAGCTTTCAGTCATTTTACAGCAAACTCAACCTATTTTAGAAATATTTGATTTTGGATATAATCTCCAGAGACATTTATTTAACAGCAGGATCTGATTCAGGGCCTCAGCTGGGACCTTCATGCCCAACAGAAGGGGATATTACTGCATCGCAGCAGGTGCAGGCTGTAAGCTTAAAAACATCTTATCTGGTGGCCTTTAAAATGTGTTTGTTTCAGAGTGTTGACATTCACTTATTCTTTATTGCCCAGCCATGGTATTTCTACAAGTTCAGCTTCCTGAGATGATCTCTCTCTTTCAGGAATCAAATACTGTGTGTGGTATATGGAATCTGGCTTGCATAAAGGCATTCTTGTGCCAGTGGACAGTCAGGAAGGTGACAGCAAACAAAATTAATTATGTTGGGGAGGGAAGAGGATTTCAGAAGATAAATTTGGTCTCAGTTCACCTCCGTTGACAGGCATCTCAGCAAACATTTAGAGAGGACAGAAGGACATAAGATAAAAACAGCAGCTGGAAGTGAAACAAGGCTGGGCTCCTCTATTGTCTCATTCCTCAAATGTCCTGCAAATTTCCCCTGAAGGTATTTACCCATCCTTGTGAGGACTGCTGCAAAATCAACCAACCTGCAGTTCCACTCATTCTTTTTAAATTCTTACTTCACTGTCCTATACAAATTCAACCACCTCAATAAGGTTTACTTTGTAAGCCTGAATTTATTTCAAATTCAAGCACCTTTCTCTCCTTATCTTCTATCCTTGATTTCCCTACAATGTACAAATTTACCTCAGGAATCTTTGTAAGGTAAAACAGGGCCAGTACACTCGGGTGGTGAATTTTGCCTAGTATCATATTGTAAAGTCTTACATTCCACAGTTTTTATTTCATGTGGGCCTTCAAAATATAGTTTGAGTGTTTTCCTTAGACTGAGCAAGCCCCCACCCTTCCTTGTCTTCTTACCAATAAGCCCCGAGTAAGCAAGGAGGCAGTCAGCATAGTTCTCCTTCAGACAGCTACTAACAGACCGTGACTCAGGCTGGCAGTTTGTGAAGAAATCTGCAAGGCGAGATCTGCAACATAAAGAAAAATGCATATCTTTAAAAATCAAGCCTGCAGGCATTCTTACCTTTTTTTTTTTTTTTTTTTTTTTTTTTTTTTTTTTTTTTTTGGACAAGGCTTAATATTCTTTAACTTAAATATATATTGGACACATTTCAGCTGATGAAAGTCTCTTTCTAAGACGTGTCTCTTTCCAGAATCCATTTTTGATGTCAGAACCAAAAAGTGTAGGAAAACAGTAAAAAGGGACAGAACAACAGGGAACTGCCTGCCTCTTAGTAAAAGAAACGCTTTGCATTTTCATGCCAAAAGAAAGACAAAGAGCCATTTTATCATAAGATCAGACATTTTGCCTGGATATGAACTCTAACTAGAATCTGTTAAATAACAGATTCAGAGTAAAGTTTCTGCTGTTTTACAGTTTACACAAAACTGTATGTTTGTGCTCACAGAGTCCTCTTACTACATGACTCGAGGCAGAACCTACGTTGGTACTGCCCAGAGTTTCCAGGGAAGGGGCTTACCCCTGCTCTAGACTGGCCTGCAGAACCAGCTGGCTGAACTGGGGTAGCAGGCACATCCAGATGGCTTGGTCTGCACAGCTCCCCGGAGCCATGGTACTGAGAATCTATTTGTTCTTGTAAAATGTGCATTTATCCAAAGCCTACAGTATTGAGCCCAGGGCTGGGAAGAAGGCAATGTGTGCTCTGCATCGAGTCCTGCTGCTGAATGGCCGTATTATCTTCACTTATCTCAGCTACCCCACGTCCAAGAGCAGGAGAGCACTGCCTACTTACAGAAAGTGCTTTAAGACTAAGAGTGAAGCTGTATTGCAATTAACAGATTACTACCACCCTGGAAAACAAAAAATAATGGACCAGCAGCCAAGAACTCTTCTGGTTATTTGAGCTTTAAAGGCCACATAATGCTCCTGTTCAGGTCTGTAAAATTCAAGAGGCATTACTCGAGGTGAGCCAAGGTCCCACATTCTAAGGTCACTCTCCTGTCCATCTTGGCCTACTCTCCTCAGCTCCACTAGTGCTTTCATTTCGACTCATAAACTTGGACCAGTGACTTTTGTTTATTTATAAAATGTCATTTAGACCTTTATCTCCACGAACAAAATTATTTAACCTCCCTATTTCAATATTCTCTTCTGTGAAAAATGGATGAAAATGTTCTTTTGCATATAACAACTCATGGTGATGTTTCAGGACCAGGTGCTTAATCTTTGCAAATCCCTCTAAAAATCAGAATAGTGTGATCTATGCATTTACAGCACTGCTCTAGCATTATGTAGATTTTCAGCATAAATGCTCTTTTTTAGTTTTGCAAGGAAAACACAAGAGTTAGCAGAAACAAGTGATTTGCAAGTGATTTACTTTATTTGTTTACATGCTCCAGAGACTAATTATCTTTGTTTGCTTTATTGTTTTACCTGTCTCAGAATGGAATTGGATGTACCTCATTAATTGGCCTGAAAGTAGTGATGGGCAAACTTCAAAAGGTTCACAGGCTTAGTTTGAGAAATCATCCTATAAATAGACTGCATGCAAACTGCACCTGAATTTATCTGAGCTATTCTCGTGACCTCTTTTTAGTTCCATCCCTCACTAGCTGTACTGACACCAGCAAATCCATGGTTGCCTTCAAACTATAGTCAACTGTAAGTTTTTCACTCCCTCCCTTCCCTTATTTAACCTTGAGATCGACATCTGTATCCTTAATAGCTTTCAAAAGTCAAGCTCTTTACCGATTCTTTTAGACGCCCTCTATGTATACATAAATTTCTAAATTTCCTTAAATCTCTACTCTGCCGGTGAATATATACTGTACTTATCATGGGACAGGCTGAGAAGAAATGGATTCCAAGGTATGGGAAGAGATAAACAGCAGCACTATGAAGAAAACCTGGGCAGGGAAACCCTGTGTCACTGCAGTGATTCCTCTCTCAGTCAATAATTAAGATAATGGCTCAGATCCAGCCTTCTGGGCAATAGGGAACAAAAACAGTTGGCAGTTTCTAAGGTTTTTACAATTTCTACTAATATCTGGATAAAGTCTGGTTTAGGACAGAAGCGAGACTATTACATCTGTCTAGTATGAAAAACGCTTGCCATGGTAGAAAGAACAAGCCTGCTGTACGTGCAGTATTTTTGCATTTCTAAAACAAAGTAGTTCCTCGGATTTAAATTTCATTATTTATGTGACCACAAATAAATCTTTTTGGAGATGCAATTATACGATCAGCATCTTGATAATCCTGAAAACATCTCTTGCAATCATTTCATCATTCTTAAATGTCCAGTTCTCCCTTAGTTTATTAGGTGCAGTGGTCCAGAGATCATTTAATACATTCCTCTCCTCTAAGTGTTTTTAAGGACTGATAACTGTGGAATAACACCAGTCGTTTACTACCCAGTCTGCTTAAAAAATGTATTTGTTGTAAACCCCAAAGGAGGCTAAACATTTCTCTGCTGATCCCTTTTGCATACAGTTTGATTTCTATGTTAATTTCTGAAGAATTTTTGTGGTCATAAAAGGTAATGATCTGACAGTGTTGCACATTTAAGTTTTCGTAAGGCAAATATAGTTCAGATTGCTCTGGTCCAAGCATTACTGGACATCACCATACACCTCCTCCCTAGTGAGTCATTCAAACTTCATACTATCAAAGTTCTCACTCTCTCCTGAGCTGTTAACTACACCTGATACTTATGTGGATTCATTTCCACTGGAGATAAAGTCAAGGCCAGCAAATAAAAAAAGAGACAGACCTCCTCCATCTGCCATAAAATAACTCCATTATTTTCAGCGAAGATCTGCTGATTAACACTCACTGAAGAGCTAGCCCCAAACATTTCCAGCAGACTGGCACTGATGAAAGTGTGCTCATCAGCAATACCTAAACAGTGGTACTGCTATTTATCCAGAGAGAGACAAATATGCCTAATTAGAGACCATAGAATCATTTATTCTAAAGTAATGCACATGATATTAAGATCTGTCTGGGTAAAAGAGACAATCCTTCTAGAGATGCTGAAAAAGAGCAATCAGATGACAGCAGTCCTATAAAAAAAATGCATAGTGTTAACTTAGTGTTCCTTCAGCAGGAAGCAACCTGTAGGTAGTCACTTGTGGGTAAGTATCTAACCCATGACTGACCATACCGGTAACCTCGAGAACAAACAGAGCTTGCCACATGTGTGCCTTCAAGTGTGCACAATTTTACATGTACATATATGTATCTATGCTAGATGCCTGGATAGAAAGAGGCAGTTTTATACTCCACACAATATGTAGCAGAACCACATTTAAAAGGAACTATTAATTTATTTCTCGGCTGAATCACAAATCCTGTTTGTGCACAGCAGCATTAATGATTTTTTCCTTTCCTTTGCATAAAAAAAAAGGAACTGAAGAGAACCACACAGAAATATTCTTCCTAGGAAGAAGAAAAAAAAAAATCTTCTCTTTGTAGGGCAAAAAAAACACCAAGTAAATGAGTCCTGGAAAATCTCCTCAAAGTAAACTGCAGATCTGTAAAGCTTACTTTAAATATTTTGTATACCACTAACTAAAAAAAATAAGAATAATCCTATTGGCAAATTCAAAGAAAATCTGCTCAAACAACAAACAGTCTTTCTGAGAAGAGAGAAAAAAAAAAAACCAAACCAAAACCAAAAACCTGCTATTCTCTAATGCTTTGTATTAGCACCAGTGAAATCATTTGTAACAGTTAAAAACACGAAGAAACCAAAGTTAATTTGTTTTCCTTATGATAGTGGTTCTTCAAATACTCAGCAGGATAAATCAAAACTTTTATATTTTGCTTACAAATAAGCTTTGCTAATAGCAGTATTGTGTTTAATCTACATACTATTTTTGAGGCAATTTAATTTTATATTACCACAGCCTGTTGCATAGGCAATGATAACATTGATTAGGTTTTAACTATTTTTTATTCTCAAGGTTTTGTAAAAGTTCTTTGATGTTCTGAAGTTATCTTTGATATTTATCTCTTCTTCCCCTTTAAAGTTGGTCCGCTCAGCTTTAGTACTGGTGCAATATTTAAAAGCATGATATAAACATTGAAGTTGCAAAAAATATCTAAAACTGCATTTTTAGTTTGGACCTGGTGTAAATCATGGCCTATTGGAAAGCAACTCTACGAACGAGACATATGAGTCCTCTCTGAGAAGCACCCTCATCACTGGGCTAGCAGATGTTCTCTTATTTTTTTCTCTCTGGCTGTATTCATCTTCAATTGCTGGTACAGAGGGGCTGAACCTTCAGAGAGAGAAATCTTCTCTTAGCCTTGCTTTTGCACTGGTGATCTTCGGACCAAGGCCGTCATTGAATCTGGATCTCCCACTGCCTGCACACACGTATGCTGTGATGTCCAAGTGAGTGGTTACAACCACTTGCCAAGTCGGTCCACGCAGGGATCGACAGCTGCTGTCCTCTGCGCTCACCTCGGTGACGTTAAGTGAAGTCTAGACATGGTCACTGCCACCTCTCTTTACACTGCTCTCTGTGTTTAGGTACCTATTTGTGGCTCAACAGTAGTAACATAAAGAGTACGTAAATGCCAACGCTGAGTGACTGGGGTGACTACACTAATTAGTCAAAGCTGCTCTAGTGTCTAGACACCATTTGGCAGACACCGTATAGTCACGTAAGGGAAGTGCTGCATCAATATTCAAAACAGAAAAGAAGTATAAATCTGACACTGAAAAAATTCAGACTAAGTCAATGAATATGTGTCATAGTGATAAATGACACCATTACAGAAAGAAAACAAGCCAAAATACTTGTTCTTCTTTTGTGGGGGTCAAATGCAGCATCCTCCTCTATAGCTACAAATAGCTCCCGTATACCTTGGGTGGTGCTGTTTCTGCTGGGATGCACTAGTGGCAAGAGGGGTTGGTATGTGGCCAAACTAATGGCTTCACTGTTGGAGGAGCTTTTCATTTTCTCTTTGTTTCATAAACACACAGTGAGTGGGCAG